GATCCCCTGGAGAAGGGAATGGCTATCCACTCCAGTATTCTTGCCTAGAGAATTTTATGGACAGAGGAGCCTGGCAGGTTACGGTTCATGGGATCCAAAGAGTCAGACATGACTAAGCAACTAACACTTTCACTTTCAGATTCCTGATCTCCCAAGTACCACCTCTTCTATTTCTATGTTCCCATTCTCATCTCTAAAATAATTTGGGATAGCTATGTATACATAGACAAATATATACTATAAGCAACTGTATGGGATACAATGTTGAGTAACTTTACCTTTTCCATTATGCTAGGCCAAATGGCAAATATATTACCTTACTTTCATTACCTTACATTATCTAGGATTACTTTTAATACCAAACTAACTCTTGAATGTGATTGGTCCAGTATAATAGGCTTAAGCCAATGAGTACATAGCATTCTTATGGTGTATAGTGATGATACAGGAATAGGGATTTATCCCAATTTAGGCTAATGAAAGGACAGAGAGTATTTTCTAGAGGCATCTAAGAAGTTTCCTAGCATAAACAGAAGCCCGGAAGAAGATAGTAACTCTTCCTCTGCACACTGACATTGTTACTCACATGTATGAGGTCTATAATTACATAGCATGGTGCTACCATCATAAAGGGTTACTTCAAACTTCCTTAGCAAATATGAGCCCTCCCCCACCCTCACTGCCTAAGAGCCCTGACCAAGTGAGTGAGGTGACAGTAACACCAGGTCTTCCACACCGTACTGGAAACACTGGGACATAATTTGAAAAGAATCCAAGTATAAAGAATCCAAGTATCCAGAGACCCAATCAGTGAGAAGAAGGGTAGGCTTAGGATCTTTTAAATTAATGTACCCCACTTCTTATATCGCATTTGGTATTCCCTACCTCTCTATCCTGTTCACTGTAAATCATCCAAGGGCTTGATTGGTTTTCAAGCCTTGACACATACTTAGTGTGAAATTCTTAATAAGCATGGTTTCTGAAAGAGAACATTAAAATAGGAAACAGAATCCCAAAAGAAGGGGTAGATAAAGCAAGAGCAATCACAGCCAAAGTGAAAGAGGACAACCTGATATGCAGGGACGCCCAGGTACAATTCTAGATAGGAACTGGCATTTACAAAACTGTCCTTGAGTCATCAGGGAGAAGTTAAATCATGTTCAATAACTTCTAATATGAAGGCAAGAACTTGACTAATTATCATGATTTTTACCAAACTGGTTAATACAAGAATATTTTGACATTTTGTATAAATAATGAAGTAAACAACCATATTGAGAACGTACATATACCAAGGAACTGCAAAAGATCTCTAGATCCTAAATGTGGCCCGCAGCTAGACTCCTGGTCATACAAAAATCTAGACTCTTGGTCACAGAGCCACAAGAAAGCAAATTCTGCCAACAGCCTAAGTAAGCTTAGAAGCGGCCTCTTTCCCAACTGAGTGCATGATGAAACTTCAGCCTGGTGAAACTCTGGGGTGGAGAACCTAGCTAAGCCCCACCTGAATTCTTGATCCAAAGAAACTGAGATAAACTGTTTCTTAAGAGAGTAAATTTGTGGTAATTTATTACAAAGCAATATAAAATGAATACAGCATCATAAAGAGATTATGGAAGGTCTGAATAAAAGCTGTCTCAGCAGAGTGACTGAATAGGAGCCAGACTGCATTGATTTGGAGGAGCGAGAGGAGGGTAAGTGAAGTGAGCATAGACGACTCTTTTAGAGAGGTTTGCCTGGGGACAGAAGGAGAATGTAAGGGCTGTAGCTGAATGGTGCTTTGGTTTTGAGGACAAAGTTTTTATTTTTGTTTTTTAATGGGAAGTAACGAGCATATTTAAAAGTCTGCCTTTTCAAAGGATCAATTTTTACTTGGTTCTTGAAAATTTGTACTTGATTCTTGAAAATTTGCTTGGCTATGCTAAAGGCAGCATAGCTAGATATAACTTACAAAAAATAACTGGTTAAAAGCAATATGTCTGGTGATCTAATATCAATATTAACATTGAAAATATTGTAAATGATTATAAAAGAAAGTAGCATAAATTCTGTTATTCAGCTAAACCCTCTTGTTTGCAAATCTCCAAATGAAAGAGGGCTTCCTTGCATTTGGAGGATCCTGTCGACTGAGAGATAGCACACACACACACATTGTCAGAGTCAAGTTCCACTCTTCTTTCAATTCACAGCAAAGGGAAGCCACTATTATTTGACTTTCTATGATGATTTTCTAAGGTGGCAGCTTCCCACAGGAGCTGACCTGTAAGTCTTGATCCAGATCCCATATTGAATTTGTAGAATTATGAGGAAAGAACTTGTGTGAGACTAATTATGTGAGACAAATTACCATCTAACATAAATTACTATCTAACCCTGCTGCAAGAATTCCAGCTTTGTATCATTTGTTTACAACCTGTTCCTTGCTGTATATTATTATTTCTAAAAATAGTAGTTTTAATTTCCCTACATTTTAATTTCTTTGATTAAAACATGCTTTACTATCCTCAAATGGTTAGCTGAAAATAAGCACTGCAATATTAGATGAAGAGGGAGAAAGCAAGAAAGAAGAAAACTTGCCACATCCCAAGTTCTATACCAGGTACTTAATATAAATCATCCTTAATTCTCCAAACAAACTTTCAAGGAAGACTCTTTAATTATCCTAATTTTTCAAATAAGCAGACTGAATCATTTAGATTAAGAAAATAATACCCAGGGTCCTGCATCTGATCATATTGTGTCACATTAAAGAATAAATCCCTGTGCATAACTTTAAAGTTAATGTCTTAATTAACTACTGTATTGCTCTAATTCTAAAAAAGAGGATTCTTTCTTAGGGAATTAACAGCAGGCAGTACAAAACAAGAAGAACTATGTATTAAACTAACAAGGAATAATGCCAGAGAATATTACTTTGTATGTTTCTCATTTCTCATTATGTCCATCCATGTTCAACAACATAGTCAATCCAGTTGAGCTCCTGTAGTGATATTTCAAAACTTGTCCTAACTGCCATGATCCAGGTGTTGAGGATTTTCTTGTTATAACAGAACAAATAGGTTTTTTTTAATGTACCTTACATTAAAAACAATAAGGCTTAGTTCTGAAATATGTCTATTATTATCAGTCTTTTGTAACCATGGTAATTTAATGTTATCTTGCAGCCAGTCACTTGACTTAGGCTAATGGTTTTTAGGTTTGAGCTTGCATCAGAATCTCCTGTAGGGCTTCTTCAAAACACACAGATTATAGGACTTGACTCTCAGATGTTTGGATTCAGTAGATGTGGGTTGTAGGTCTTAAAATTTGTGTTTCAACAGCACATTCCCAGGTGCTGTTGCTGGTCTGGGGACCACACTTTGAGACCCACTGGCCTAGACCAGGGTTTTAAAACCTTTTTCTGTAAAGAATCAGGTAAATACTTTTGGCTTTGTGGACCATATAGTTTCTGTCACAGCTACTCAACTTTTCATTTGTTGTGGAAAACAGCCATACACAATTCCTAAATGAACAGAGATGGCTGTATTTCAATAAAATTTTATTACAGAAAGAGGTGTCAGGATGTATTTAGACTGTAGCTGGTCAACCTCCGAGTTAGACCAACTCAGTATAACAGGCCTGAAAAATGACTTTATATATATTAAATATACTCTGTGACTCCAAGAAAATCAACTATAGCTTTCTTCGCAAAACTCCTTCTAAGTTTCTAAATAAAACCTGCAGACCTATAACAGAGACTAAGTTGATTGTGTTAAACCATCACAGAGGAGAAATCCCAGTGAACCCAATAAAGAAGCAATAGTTTTATGCACAAGTCTGCATTTTATAAACAGTTTTTGTTTTAACATGCCCATTAACTATATCGTCATTTTCAAATTTTAGTTTTACTTGGATATTGTTTATAATGTTGGAAGTTATAAATACACCAAATGAAGCACTATATTGAATGACATAGATGCCAACCCAATCAGATTATCTATTGACTTTCTAAAAAAAAATGAAAGAAAACAAAAACACACTGATCGCCATGAATATGGCCAGGTTTAATATATTTGGTCTTCACCCAGAATAGTGTACTTCAAACTAATTTAAAATACCAATATGACCTTAAAGTCTACTAAATTGTTTATGCCAATGAATCCACTGCATCAGCTCTATCCTTAACAACAGTGTAAATTCCTGCAAAAATACATGATTCGGATAAATTTTTGTCATAATCAATTGTGATTTAGTTCCCTGAAAATAACCAGATGCAAACGCCATGAGGGAAGCTAGTGTTATGCGTCATCATATAAACTTAAAATGCAAATACTGTGATAATGCAAATACTGTGATAAAAACATCTCCAACAATGCTATACACTAGAAACATTTAGACAAAATCTATGCAACTATATATTGTAATATTTTGATAAGTTAAAGATGGATTAAAATGGCTTTATGAGGGAATACACGACTCCTCATTCAAAATTTGTTCCTAAATTCAATTAATTCAAATATTTCATTTTGATCAATGGATTTATATTTGCCACTAGACATTTATTCTTTAGGCTAATGCAGTGGTTTTCAAAGAGTCCTTGGTTTGTTGTTGTTTTGTTTTTTAAAGGTTGAAAGAATATTGTGGTCAAAATAAACCGGAAAATGTTCATTTAAAACAAATTTAATTTTTTTTTAACTTCTTCAGAAGCAATATTCATGGTACATATGTCTAAGAAAGATGCGGTAAACTGTGCAGCCTTTTCCAATCTCAATTGAACACAGAACCAAATTATAAGTAGCGCATTTTGAAGTACATAAGAAACAATAATGAAAATAATGTTCTTTGTGCTTAAACCCAGGTACCACATGATATTTTTTATAGTAAATTCAATTAGATTCAACAAGTATTTTGTTAAATACCTCTATTATTTGATTGATCACTTAAAGGTTAACATTTTAGTTTTGTTATGCTACTCACCTAAGTCTATCTAGAACAAAGGTAATCCTATTAAACATACTTACACTCCTCTTCAGGCCTCTTCCGAAGTGCTGCACGAACTTCTTTACAAGGACTTCTCTGATATTGTGGGGGATTCCGTCCCCGTATTAAGTTCTCCATCCTATAGGAGGAAATTAAAAGAGTAGTTTAATATAAAACTCTCAATACATTTTGAAAAATTAAATGATTTAGATCAAGAGTCAACAATTCAGGTATATAGAGACGCTTAGCAGACCACATCCTTAAGAGTACCGAGCAAGGAGCAGGACAGTCGGGAGTGGCAGGGACTCTGCATAAACTGGAGATGGCTTGACTTTTCTAAAGCATTCCAATTTTAAAAATATAGAAACCCATGTGGATGAAACTCATATGCACATTCTCCAATCAGGGACTCATATGGGCTGAATGTTTGTGTCTCTACCCTCCTCCACTCCCCCCACCTCCCACCTTCACAGGTTGAAACTCTCACCCCTAAAGTAACAGTATTTTGATGTGGAACCCTTGAGAAGTAACTGGATTATCTGAGGTCATGAGGGTGGGGCACACATAATGGGATTAGTGTTTTTATAAAATGAGGAAGGCAGACTAGAGCTCCCTTGCCCTTGCACAGGAGGATTCAGTGAGAAGGCAGTCATCTACAAACCAGGGAGAGAGCTCTCGCCAGGCACCAAGTCTGCTGGTGCCTCTGTGTTAGACTCCAAGACTCCAAAACTGTGAGAAGTAAGGTTCTGTAGCTTAAGCCACCCAGTCTGCGGTATTTTGTTATAGTTACCCAAACTGAGTAAATCAGAGACCCACTGACTAAAAAAGTGAATACTTACAAAGCAAACACATTTATTAAAAATCAGGTTACACTTTAGGAAGAAAGAACCTTTCACCAGCATTCTGAATACCAGTTTTCCAGAGTTTACTTGCTGATTTTCTCTGTGCCAATTAAATTGATAAGGATTTTCTAATTCTAATTAACTGTGACTCCTTGAAAATATGGTTAATATAAAGTGCACTTCTCAGTTACTTTCAATGCTGACAACCAGAAAATAATAATAAATGGACCAAATACAACTTGAGTTGGAATATTAAACAGAATATATTCTGTGATTAGTATTTTCTGGTTTTAGTAAACCTGACAGTTGTGTGCCACCACTGTACATTCTACTTATTTTGAAAACATTAAGCAACTATTGAGTGTTCAAGATTTGAAAATTCAGAACAAAACAGTGACATGTATCATTTTGAAAATAAAAACATAAACTTATAAGAATCTGCTATATAACCCAGGGAACTCTACTCAATACTCTGTAATGGCCTACATAGGAAAAGAATATAAAAAAAGAAAAGAAAATATAACATAGCTTCTTAACATCTACATAATTATTCTAATGGAATACCACTGTGCTGGCTGATAGCATATATTGAAAACAGCACGGTTGTCATGGGTTACAGTAGTGGAAGATCGCCTAAGGTTAGTAGTACAGAGACATATTTCTAGTGCCTAGAGAGGAAATTGGGAAAGGATGATCCAATAAAAGCAATATGTAAAATGGCATGAAATATGAGTAAATAACATTTTTGTACTGGAAGAGTAACATAATAGGGCTAGTAGTAAAGAACCTGCTGCCATTGCAGGAGACATCAGAAACCTGGGTTCAGTCCCTGGGTCAGGAAGATCCCCAGGAGGAAGGCATGGCAACCCACTCCAGTACTCTTGCCTGGAGAATCTCATGGACAAAGACGCCTAGTGGGCTACAGTCCATAGGGTTGCAAACATCCGGACATGACTGAAACGATTTAGCATGCACACAGTAACATAACACTATTCCTATTAGAGGCTGTCACTGGTTCTAAAAAACGCTTTTCCAAATATACTTACTGAAACCAATCTATTCATAGGTAAGGACTACTTTGTGTGTGTGTGTGTGTGTGTGTGTGTGTGTGTGTGTGTGTGTACTCACTCATATGCCCAGGATATGTATATAAAGTACAAGAAAATATTTCTCAATGTGTGATAACTTGAAACAATTTCACTCAAAGCTTAAGTGAGAAAAAAGCTTATCATTGTATGATAATACAATGACAGGTAAGAAAGTGAAAATCTCATGAGTTTAAGACATAATTTGCTTTAATGTTATATATGAGGAGCATGGTCTGAGCTTCCAGGACCAACTATGCAGTTTCAGTATAAACCATGCAAATTATACAAAATGTTCTAGATTCTGACTCTTTAATTAATTCAATGCAGAATTTTGATTACATGTTTCAGCAAATGCATGGATTTTCATGATGATATAACAATCCAAGTGAACTTATAATTAACCACTAGTATTCACAAGCTCAAGATAGGAAACTACACTAGTCTGCATTCCCACCAACAGTGTAAGAGGGTTCCCTTTTCTCCACACCCTCTCCAGCATTTATTGCTTGTAGACTTTTGGATAGCAGCCATCCTGACTGGCGTATAATGGTACCTCATTGTGGTTTTGATTTGCATTTCTCTGATAATGAGTGATGTAGAGCATCTTTTCATGTGTTTTTTAGCCATCTGTATGTCTTCCTTGGAGAAATGTCTGTTTCCTTTGGCCCATTTGAAATAGAACTGCCATATGAGCCAGCAATCCCACTTCTGGGCATACACACCAAGGAAACCAGATCTGAAAGAGACACGTGCACCCCAATGTTCATCGCAGCACTGTTTATAATAGCCAGGACATGGAAGCAACCTAGATGCCCATCAGCAGACGAATGGATGAGGAAGCTGTGGTACATATACACCATGGAATATTACTCAGTCATTAAAAAGAATTTATTTGAATCAGTTCTAATGAGATGGATAAAACTGGAGCCCATTATACAGAGTGAAGTAAGCCAGAAAGATAAAGACCATTACAGTATACTAACACATATATATGGAATTTAGAAAGATGGTAATGATAACCCTATATGCAAAACAGAAAAAGAGACTCAGATGTATAGAACAGACTTGTGGACTCTGGGAGAAGGCGAGGGTGGGATGTTTCAAGAGAACAACATCGAAACATGTATATTATCTAGGGTGTAACAGATCACCAGCACAGGTTGGGTGCATGAGACAAGTGCTCGGGCCTGGTGCACTGGGAAGACCCAGAGGGATGGGGTGGAGAGGGAGGTGGGAGGGGGGACCGGGATGGGGAATACATGTAAATCCATTGCTAATTCATTTCAATGTATGACAAAAACCACTGCAATGATGTAAAGTAATTAGCCTCCAACTAATAAAAATAAATGGAAAAAAAAAGATAGTAAACTACAACAAACATAACCTACAAATGCAAGTATCTACACAAAATTGTGATTTAATTTTAAAAACCAATTTTTAGTCATCATGATTATACTAATGAGGGATGACAACTTATCCTGGTTGGAAATCTATGTAAACCAGTCTTTTAGATGGGTTATTAATTTTCTTTTTATGTATCTGACTATTGAATATATGAAAAACGAAAGTGGTCTAATTGATTTCCATGTAACTACACTTGAGGGTATGCCAGAAAAACTGAATGTATGTTAGAAAGTACTGCTAAGGATTCCAGGAGAGTTTCACTTACAATGGTAGCTAATTGGTATCAAAGATCATAAAGAATCATGGTGCCCAAATGTTGCATTATGGGAATGCTCACAAGTAGATATGGAAGAGATTATGCAGTATTATCAAAGAAATATGGTTTAAATGGGATGAGCCCAGGTTCTAGAATTGGACTGCCTGGGTTAAACTCCCATTCTGTCTCTTAAAGAAATATTTCAGGGAAAGATAGTTATTTTGGTGCTTCCCAGGTAGCGTTAATTGTAAAGAACCCTCTTCCCAATGCAGGAGACACAAGAGACATGGGTTTGATCCCTGGTTGGAAGCATTCCCTGGAGAAGGGCATGGCAACCCACTCCAATATTCTCGACTGGAGAATCCCATGGAGAGAGGAGCCTGGCAGCCTATAGTCCATGGAGTAGCAAAGAGTTGGACATGACTGAAGTGACTTAGCACACACTCATGCATACTCATATATAAAAAATATATATTATATGTAAATATAATATTACACAATGTAAAATATAATATTACACAATGTAAAAATGCTTATCTGCTAATTAATTGTTGATTTTTAAAATCAATTAGTTATTTTAGAAACGCTTGCTTTCATTTGTGATATTTTAAATTTTTAGAACCAAGAAAAAGATAACTGGGGTCAAGGAAATTCATTATAAACTATATATACAACACAGTAATAGATGAATATAAATTAAAATATCATTAAAAGTTGTCAGAATGCTAAGTGTTATTATACCCAGTGGGAAATATACTTTGAATCAAATTAAATGTGTTACACAGCAATGTTCATGTCCGAGCTAATATAACTGTGAGATTTCCACCCTCTTGAGATTATACTTCTGGCTACTTGAACTCTTCTACCAGATGACCAGCATCATCTATGATCTACAGTTTGCATTAAATGGTCAGACAAAATGACCAAGAATGAAGCCTTGGAGCACTGCCAGGACACAGCAAAGATGCTATTCTAGCTACTCTCAAGCTTGGCATGTCACCAGCGGGAGTGTGTTAACAGTGCCAGCAAGAAGAGACTAAGTGTGATGACCACAGGCAAGACAGATGCTCTAACAACTCACTGAAGAGCTCTGGAAAGTGCAGCCTACATGTCAACTGCTGGGAAGAAATAGGGGCAGAAAGGCTGATATCAAACAGCGTGAAAAAGCAATCAGAGGTCATGAGCAACCATGTCCACAGCTCTCTTGGCAGTGTCTCCAAAACATAGGTCACGAAATTATCTGAGCAACTTTATATAATACAAATTCCCCCATTTTCAGTACTAATGACTTCCATTCAATAAGCTGGGGTCAGGTCCAGGTAGATATATATTTTTCAACATTAATTAAGTGAGTACATGAAGTTTGTATATTGTCACTCTGCTTATTTAACTTATATGCAGAGTAATCATGCAAAATGCCAGGCTGGATGAAGCACAGACTGGAATCAAGTTTGCCAGAAGAAATATCAGTAACCTCAGATATGCAGATGACAACACCCTTATGGCAGAAAGTGAAAAGGAACTAAAGAGCCTCTTGATGAAGGTGAAA